AAGTGTTTTCTTGTTAGTGTAACTAGCAAAGCAATCCAAGTTCCTCAGACAGACATCCTGATAAGATTGGATATAGTGCTGCTTCTCCACCAGATTGAGTATTACCGTACTTCTGTTCAGAATGTCACAGTTATACTGAGATGGAATAGGGGTAACACATCTGGACAGATCCAGGGAACTTTAATTCATGAGAAGGCTTTAAGATTCCCATTCTGGGTCACCATTGAGTTGGTACAGTTCTCCTCTTTCATTAGGGCAGTAAGACAGCACCATATATATCTAACACCAACAAGATTTTGTAAGTGGCATGGCATGGAATTCACCAATTTAGACAGCATCCCCTAGTTATATTGAAAATAGTACTGTAGTTTCCCCCCATGTGTACATTCAGTTTCGTATGATGTTCTTTTGAATCTCTTCACAACAGAAAGCAACCATTTTACAAGGAAGAGCAAAACATAAAATGGCTGAATACTTTCTTCTCTTTGTGGACATTTCTCTCCCCTCTCTGGTATCATATTATGGAAAATCCATGAGGATTTTCATCACTAGCACATTTTTCACATGTATTAAAAAAACACCTTTCTAGTAGGAGACAGACATTTCAAATGGATTGTTAATGAGTGGATAATTAATACTGTTGGAAGGAAGGGATATTTATTTACAGAAGAGGAAAAGCCCGTTTTCTTCTAAAAGAAATACTTCTTGCTGGCTTGAGATAGGTCGATTCTACAAGACAAAGTGTGACTTCTGTATGGCTTCCTTCTGGACCATATATGGCATTCTGTAAAAAATTCTCTAAGCAAGCAAGCTGTCCCGACATTGGATTCTTTTTTCACAATTTCCTAGATTCTCAAAATTATTTTAGATACTGAGTTCTCTTCTTTATTTGTGGTAAAACAATATGAAATCAACTGTCCTTTAGGATGAAATAGACAGTATTTATTTTTCTTCAATACATATTAATCTCCTCTCAAGTTGCTTCTTGGCTTTGGTCTCTTTCTCTTTGTATGTTGACTCACAGGACTGCAATTAATCTTCCTGCGTAAACTGACTTTACTGTGTTTGGCTAGTAATCCTTTTGAAATCAGGGCACAATCTGTGCAAAACTGCAAGTTGGCTTTTCTGTGAGTGGTGACAGATCCATTGCCTTCTATATAGGAGCTTCCTCCCACTTTACTCTGTGTTTTGAAAAAAATTAGGCACAATACCACCTTTTCTGAGATGAAAGGAACAGCAGTCTCTCAAGGACAGCTAGCTAGTGCTTACACAAATTGAATAAATTTCTTATATGCTGCAAAGGAATTATTAAAGCTGCCTCATATCTACACAGCTACAGGCATTCTCCTAATATAATTATTACTAATATACCACAACAAGGGCCACAGGTTAGTTCTCAGATAAAGAAAACATCTAATATAATTTTCAGGATATGTGACAGAGGAACTCTGAAGTATGGCTGTTAGTTGGTTGTTTTCTCAGCTAGTGGTTGATTGCTATAACTTTAGGTAAGCCTTGTAATTTGAAAATTGTGCTTTTCAAGTACATGGTCTATTCCCCACTGTGAAAAGTGTTTGCTAACAGTTGAGGTCATCTTGTACAACCTCTAGAATATCCTTCACTCCTCTCTAGTCTGTGTAGTCTGAGTATGAACTTTAAATGGCCTTTTTATTGATTACAAGATCTCAGTGGTGACACCAGAAAAACATGAAAGCAATAGAGTGGAGTATATTCCAAGGTGGGCAAGCTGTGTCCCACATTACTGGCAAATATATTACTTGTAGGCTGCAAAAAGAGGGTTTGCGGGACACAGGCAACATGCTCCTTCTTATTCATTCCTGACTTACCCAGATGATAAGTAATTTATATGAGTAGGGGGAGGGAGATGTAGAGGGGCAAGCTCTTAATTTCAGGGAGCCCCTGGTGGCACAGTGGGTTAAACTGCTGAGCTGCTAAACTTGTTGACCAAAAGGTCACAGGTTCGAATATGAGAAGCTGCATGAGCTTCCGTTGTCAGCGCCACCTTCTGCCAACCTAGCAGTTCGAAAACATGCAAATGTGAGTAAACCAATAGGTATCGCTCAGTCGGGAAATTAACAGCGCTCCATGCAGTTATGCTGGCCAGCTCTTTGGCTTAGAAATGGAGATGAGCACCAACCCCCAGAGTTGGACACAACTGGACTTAATGTCAGGGGAAAACCTTTACCTTTACCTTGCCCTCTCTATGAGCAAGCCAGCACTGGAACACACAATACTTGTTTGAATGAAAATCTTGAATTGATCATGTTTCACATACACATGCAAATAAACCTCCCCCATTGGGACTGTCAGGTCAAATAAAGAACAAGACTGCTGTCACTAATGGTTGTGCAGAAGAAAGAATTACAAGAGATGTTGAATTCCCGCTGAAAATCCCTCTTTGATGTAACCGTTAAAGGCATAGGAAATATATCCTTTATTACACCTGGCAAATATATAAAGGAAACATATAAAGTTATAACACATCATCAGGCATCATCCTCCACACAATCTTGATCTTGCGTAGGAAGAGGGCAGAGCCATGTTCTCTGAGTCAGTGGAAGGGAGGTGTCTGTTTGTACTGCTTTCATAGGCTTCCCATGTGATTTAAATTGTGAACTATTTGATGTTTCTGCTGTTTGCAGAAGGGAATGAAGATGCTGGTAAAATCGGAAAGAGTGCTCACTTGCGCATAAAACTATCCAGTTATTGAGATCAAGTCCAATTGGGTGCCCATACCCTCTGAGTTGTCTCCTGAGGGTTCAATCTTTTGGACTACTCAAAAAAGGTTCACTGCCTCAGTTTGTTAATAACCCTTAATAACTAAGTTATTAAGGTATCACTTTTTTGTTTTTTAATCATTTTGAAATATAATTGAATTAATGTTGCTTCATTGTATAAATTAGTAAATGGGTTCAAGCCTATGTTTCATAGCTTGAATTTGTGAAATGATAAGGATTTGTTTCCAACTAATTGCTAACTTTGCACTTTTGGATGTATCTTGAACAGTTACACTAGGTTTGTAAGTAGCTTGCAGTGGATAAATAGGCAATGCAAAGTCATTTGGTCGCCGTAAACTGAGATGTTGTATAAGTGAATAACATTTTTCATTGGCATGTTGTGCCATAATTATATTTGTGGTGCGTTGCTAGTATAACAAAAAGATTGCATACTATTTAGGCATTTCTGTGCATGGTGGTAGGCTTTGATGAACTATAGGTGGTGGCTCCTGTGTCAGTAGAGTGTTGAATCCGTTCTGGGTTTTAGTGTGAATTTTAAATGTATTATCTAAAGTACTAAACTATATGGGGGCAGGATTTATACTTCTGGACAGCTGCTTTGAAGTTCAAACAGATTCTCTGTTCCACTAATAGGAGAGCTGCAAGCCACCTTTAGCTATTTCACTTACAACTAAAATGAAGCCATAGGTTATGACAATAAACATGATTTGGAAGACCTATTATAATTCTCACATCTGCTTACTTTTGAAAAGGTGCTGCGGAATCCACTGTACTCATTGAGGCAATGTCAGTTTTAAATTCTAGAGTAAGAGTACACAGGAGAAGTCAAGATATGCTTTATAATTCCTTGCTTGCTTTAGTTCTTGAACACCAGATTTATTATATTCTAACAAATATACATAAACTATTATTGTGTGTTTAGATTAGGTCTAATTAATTTCTCTAACTGAATAGGAAATGCTGAAGCACTCAAAGCTGATGACCCATAAACAAGACACCAAAGTTGTTGTAACATACAAATAGAGCTATTAAATATTTGCAAATACTGCCTCTGTATTCCTGTGGTTAGGGACAAGAACCAAATCTGCAAAAGTCAGACTTTAAAATGCAGAGAGTCAACTAGGCAATACTTAACAGCAACTGCAATGGCTTTCATGATAGGTTCATTTTAGGATCATTGTAAGTTGCCTTAGGGTTGTCATGGGTCAGAAATTATTTAAAGGCACACGACAACCAATATATGTATTCCAGGATTTCTATGCTTAGAATTATGTGAGTCAGTATTCTGCTCCTAGTCCCAGACATTGAGAAAGTTTTAACCAGTGTGTTGCTTGACACTGGTCACCGTATTTTATTTTATTTATTAGCTTTAGTCAAATTGCCAAGTATGGTCATAGGTTATTAGTGAGTGGAATATGGGCTATTATGGAATAAATGAATGTGAAATGTAGCAACAGAATTGAGTTTTCTGTGATACATCAAGAAGACTGAGGGAGGATGATTGATATGAAATTGGTTTTTAGTCATGTCCCTTTTTCAATGTTGGGGAGTGCGTCTATTTATGGTAGCCTATGTTTGTAGTCATACTTGAGTGACTGAACATCAGGAACTGGCTTTTGTATACAGACAGCCCCTGAGTTACAAACATCCGACTCTTAATTACAAAATGGGGTGACACAACAAAAAGTGAGAGGAAATCTACTCCTAGGAAAGGAAATTAACTCCTGTAAGAGTTATCATGGGGGAAAGGTGTCTCCATTGAAGCTTTATGACCAGTCCTTGTTTCCATGACAACCCAACATTTTCAAAATCCAATTGTCACAGGGACATAAAGTGAGGTGAAATCTTCTGAACAGGGGTACAGACAGGAAAACTAACTTCACAGGGGTGTTAACCCTTCCCTATGCCAAAACTAGAAAAAAATGAGCTGGAGTTACATTTAAAAATGTACCTGTTCCAACGTACATACAAATTCAACTTAAGTACAAACCTAAGGAACCTACCTTGTTTGTAGCCTGAGGACTGCCTATATATAGATATGAGACTTGTAAGTTAACTTCAAAAACATAGCCATATTGGTCTGGATATCAGTATGCAGAGGAGTCTTATTGCATCTTGGTAGCGTAAGGTTTTCCACACTAAGTGTACTTCTTCAAATACAATTTGCCTGTTAGAATTTTTCCAAACCTTATTATTTTGTATATATTCCTTTCTAATCTCCCTTTCCCCTTCTTTTTCTAGGTTCCAACTATGTGAGTCCCCGTCCAGGTCATGCCAACATGAATGCCAATGCAGCTGCAGGGCTTGCACCTGAGCATATCCCTACTCCAGGTGCAGCCCTCTCTTGGCAGGCTGCCATCGATGCTGCCAGACAGGCCAAATTGATGGGTGCTGCTGGCAATGCGACAATATCCACTGCTAGCTCAACGCAGAGGAAGCGGCAGCAGTATGGAAAACAGAAAAAACAGGGTACCACCACAGCTACACGTCCTCCCCGGGCATTGCTGTGTTTAACACTGAAAAATCCCATTCGGAGGGCATGTATCAGTATTGTTGAATGGAAATATCCTTTTTGATGTAGTGCACCAGATTCCACCACAGAACAACATCCTCCTCTGCTATCTTTGGGGGTTGGGTGGTCCACACTATTTTCTGAGATCTCACCTGTTGCTCCTACCTTACAGCATCTGCAATTGTGTCACTTAATCTCAATTTGACTTATGATAAAGCCAAACCTATCATAATGTTGTCAAGTTTGACTGGCAGTAGTTCTAGGTTTAAGCTGAAATGCTTTTTTTTCTAATTTGAAATACCAAGAAACAAACCTGGAATGTTCTGCATGCAAATCATGGATTCTACGATTTATCTAAGCACCCTCCCAAACTCTTCCTCTTTCATAGTTTATAGTCACATTGTCTTTATCCTTCCTAGCAGGGTTCTAATACTAGAAGGTCCATAGAGCGAGACAGGGTTCAGCTTCTCATTTCTTATTTGTATAGAACAAATTCAACTTTAATTATTGAATTGAATTCTATGGCTCTACCGCCTAGTTTGGTTCTTCCAGGAAAGCTGGAAGGATAAAAAGAGATTGGATTTAAAAGCATTGTAAAGTAGGTACTGTCAAAACAAATTTTATTTTCAGGATAGAATCAAAAGATAAAAATAGACTTGTCAGTAAAAGTTTTACTAATAACCTCCAGCAGGCCTTCTTTTTTGGGTGCTGGCTTCTAATCCTTTCAGTTAGTTTTATTTCTTACCCTGCACAAAACTGTAGCATGTTGGTATATTATGATAGATGACTGACTTGGGGGAGATGGGAGGGGTACGCTCATATTGGTTTAGTTGTTTGGTACCTCAGCAATGATGCATCTTTAAGTAGAGCACACAAGTGACGGCCTGATAAATATATGAGACAGCATGGACTGAGCAGATTGATGCATTGTAAAATGGAAGGCTGCACTGATGAGCTCTGGAAATGACTGAACAATACAGTTAAATCAGTCTCTAAGGAATGATAGTTGTTGTCAAAGCCACACAATAAATATAGCTGATATTTTTCAGTACGTCACCTCATATACCAGAATCCTAAACCTTATATTTACAATTATTATGCGTTTTCTGTTGAGATGGATAACATCCTGCTACATTGCTATCATGATAACTAAGATTAGAAGCTCCTCTCCATGTTCAGGATAGTCCAAGATATTTTTTCCTTTGAGTAACAGAACAGAAAATTCTGTCTTTAAGAATACTGACTATAATGACATGGTAAAAACACCAGTGATTTGGCCGTGGTAGGATAATGTTCTGGATTTCAGTTATGGATAGTTTCATTATAATCAGTGTGTTTTGTTCATTTAAAGTTTCTGAATGTATAGTTTCAAATAATGCAAGTAAACAGTGCAATTAAATTTTATTTAATGGGCACTCTGCAAAGAAAAGCAAATGCTTTGTAATAGCCCCACTGCAAAGTGAATATAATTGCATATTTCTGTTGCATATTAAATAAATATTAAAACTATGGTAGACTGAACCAGGGATCTGTCAAGGAGAGCATTTTCATTACCTAATATTGACAATGGGGTGTCTTTTGGAAATGTATAAGCAGGGCATGAATGTAATAGTTCTCTCCAGCTGCTTGGTATATGACATGGCAGTACGCAGTACCAGTGATATAAGTGAATCCACACTTAACAAGTTTTATAACTTTGCTTATGTCTGTGTACAAACAATTTCTGACTTATGGCAACCTTATCATAGGGTTTTCTTGACAAAACTTACCCAGACACTTTAACTGTTATGGCTCATGCTCTGGAATCCTGGGAACTGTAGTTTTGTGAAGCACCAGCACTATTTGACAGAGCAGGCCTTATTGTTATATTTATTTATACCCTGCTTTATCTCTCCCAAAGGAGACTCAAAGCAGCTTGCAACTAAAAGTATGACCACATAATTTAAAATGTGCAAATATGAATTTGAAAACACTGGCCTGAATGCTGCTGCTAAGCCTAATTGGAATATACCTATTGCATTGATGAGACTTATTTATGTGTTGGCGTATCATTTTATAATTGAACACTAAGGAAAATTAGTCAAGACTGTTAATCCTACAACTGTTATACTTAAAAGAATGGAGCTCAGTGATTCTTCGCGCTGGAAAAATATGCAGAATTAAATATATGTAAAAATAATACCGTATTCAAAGTCAAATTTATAATTATTAATTTCAAAAAGACAGAGTTAGTATACTAATTGGAAGTAACATCTCACTTATGTTTATGTAACTTTGTGTTATAGGTATAACGCTTAGTGTTTCAATGTATTCTGCTTCAATCTTTCATCTTCTGTTAGTTGTACAATCATGTATACTTCTTACTCTCTGATTCTGTACAGTCTGATTGCTGCTCAGTGTTATCTAAAATTTATAGGTTTAATATTAAATAATAATAATATATGTAAAATAATAAATAAAATATACAAATATGCAAACATTAAAACAGAATTAAACATAACAGTATTAAAATTCACAGTCAAATCCATTAAAACATATTCAAAGCCTTACAGAACTACAACTCCCTGGATTCTATAGATTGAGCAATGCTAGTTAAAGTAGTGTCAAACTGAATAAAGTCTATAGTGTAGCTGCACCCTGAGGGAGTGTGACTTGCCCAAGGTGACCCAATGGGTTTCCATGGCCAAGTGCAGATTTGACCCCTGGTATTTAAAGTCAAAATCCAGTGTGAAAACCATTACACTACACTGGCTTCTAGAAGCTTTAAAACTAGATAATAATATATGGCTATAACATCTTAACAGTTCTCAACCTCAGCCATAATGAAACCATTTCACCCAATTTGGCCATTCACCATATTACCTCCTGGACTTTGTATTAAAAGGAAATCTACATAATTTCTTAAAAATTGCTCCTATTAAAAATTAAAATGTTATCATCCACTTTAATAAGGAGGACAGTGGGCTGAACAGAAAATTTGAATTATTTGAGTCATTTCAATAGATTACAGAGGTCAGCATAAAATTATGAATAGGGCACTAACTGTCTGAAACAACTGGGACAAAATGTGCATCTGTAACCAGATGCTAATTACCTCTCTATAGTCAAGATTGACCTACTTTTCCATATTTCAATCTTATCTTGAACTATCCTTCAGAAATTAAAACTTGCATAGTCATAAGCAAACAGGAACCGATCTTATTTCTTACCCTCTCCAGAGAACAAGGCAACAATTGCTTCTATTGAACTTACCAGATTTACAGTGTTCCTTTCTAAAGTTCAGATTATGAGTGGAAACTGTGGCATGGGGAAAATGACATTGAAAGGTTTCATATGTTATAGTACCAATCGGCTGCATGCTTTCATCAATTTTGCATCAAATTAACATTGTTTTATTTGCTCTTTATGTTGAGATAGCAAAGATACACACACACACACATAGAGAGAGAGAGTATAATATAGTTTAGGGAGTTGCTTTATTTAGTTATTTCCAAAGACTTCTGTTTTAATTTCTGAACTGAGCCATCACTACAGTATGCTGTACTGTACTGTATTATATAATGCTGTTGTGTGCATCTTCAGGTCATTTACAACTTACGACCTCATCATATTGGCAAATTTCCCTGTTGTAGAACACTTTCCCGTCGCAGTCAGCACGGAGTTCTCTGAATCTCATCACATGATGCATAGCTACTTATGATGGGGCTCCATGCTGATTGCATCATCAAAGTGTTTTACCATCAGGAACTCTGAACACGGAAGACTACCCGTGTTCGGATAGAAAATGCATGTGATAGCCAAGCAGGTGATGTGAGCAATGCGGGGCACTGGGCAACAGATTCGTCTTGCTGCCCACGATTTGCCCTGCTGCCCCATGATTTGCCCTGTTGCCCTATGGATTCCCTGCATCAAAGACCTCTTTGATTAAGTACTCTGAACAACCCTAAAGTGAACCTATTGTTTTTTCTTGGCAATGTTAGTTTTGAGGTTTACCATACTCTATCTCAAAAGCAAAGAGAGTATGGCTTCTCTAAGGCCATCTAGTCATTTTCTGTGGCTAAGAAGGGATTTGAAACCTGGTCTCTTGGAGCCTTATTTCAACCCTCAATCTACTGCACACTGTACAGTTAGCCATCTGTGCCCACAGATTCAACTACCCACAACTTTAAAATAATTGTTTAAAAATCTAAAGGCAAAGTTTGACTTTGCCATTTTTTATAAGAGACACCATTTTACTATGCCATAGTTTGATAAAATCAGCATACACTAAACCTCAGCAGATACCAAGGGTCCATTGTATTTCGCTATGCTATTCTATATCATGACAAGCCTCATGATAGTGTTGAAAATCTACCTTGAGAGTACAACAAAGACAAGACAAATAGAGCAAGGCAGTCATGATATACATTCCAGCGACTTTTCAGACTCTTTGATTTTAAGACATGACTGACTTGGTACATCTATCCTGTGAAAACCTTTCCCTTCCTTATATGCTGCAATTGTGCGGCACCTGCCAGATAAAGAGGATATTTTGAGGGGAAAGACTTAACAAATAGTGTACTTGTATTTGTATGTCTGTGTATAACAAGAGCTGGAACCTATATTGTTGCAGGCTTGCATTCATTCACACTAGTTTGTGTTATTTTCTTTCTTCCTTGTCACAATGCAAAGTCTCCATAGAGAATTTGACAATACTCAGGAAACTCTGGCTACATGATTTTAAGAGAAGCAAATAGTGAATCCAACCTATTATGTGTCAACATACATGTTTTTAAATAGAACTTATGGTAAGAATGTTCCTGGTATTTTACTTTAAGACAGTTAATTGTGACCTCTAAACAACCTCTTGACTAGTGACCCCTTTGACCCAAGACTACTTGACCAGAGACTACTTGACCAAGGACCACTTTGACCAGGTACCACTCTCCAAAATTAGTGTCAAAAGGGTTACAAATCCATTTTTGGTCAACTTTAGATTCAGATTGGGGTGCTAATTCAGAAAATTGCATAGGATAGACCATTTCAGCTCTAGTTTCTGATACAGAACATATGCCATGTTCAGCAACAGGGAAGGAGTGGCAGGCAGTATGAAAGGAGTGGAAATAAAATGAATACAATTTAATAAATAAAGAGGAAGGAGGCTCGCAGTCCAGATTTTCATCCTTGTGGCCCACTGGTGGTCTGTGGCTCACAGGTTAAGAACCATTGCTCTAGAGGAGTATTGTGTCTATTTAGGTGCATGTGTGAGTTTGCATATGCGAGTTTGCGTATGCACACTCAAATAAAAATAATCTCCCTTGAAAGATTAAAATGAAGAATATGTTAAAACAAACACATATTTTAAAGCCCTGCCCTCCTGGTGCTTCTTTCAATATATCTTTCAAGCATTCCTTTTCCAAAGCTATCAATGGAAGTTTGAAAAATAGTGAACCATTGCATAGAAAGAATTTGGAAGTATTTTCTAAATGATAGGAATAACAACAGTTTGAAAATATACTGTAAATGCAATAAGAATGCAAAGGAACATGTTTGAGGTGGATTGTTTAATAAATAGCAGCTTAGCTCAAGAGGGGGAAAATAAACCGAAAACTCTAAGTATAGGAACTTTTAAAGAAACTAGTGTTTATTCTGGCACGCGACTGACTCACCGTGCTTTTGACATATTAGGAAGAAACTTGGCTGGGAGGGTTGAAAAGCACTTTAAAGGGCACATGTTTCTTTTCAAAATACAAGGGATTGTGAATGTCTTATTTAAACAAAATTCTTTCAAATCTTTTTCCTGTTTTAGTGAAGTTGTTGAATGTGATTTTAAAAAATGCTTCCTTAACTCCATTCCTCAGACCATTTGAAATCATTATTTTACTGACTATTTTTGCCAATTGTGTGGCCTTAGCTATCTATATCCCTTTTCCAGAAGATGACTCCAATGCTACTAATTCCAATCTGGTAAGTTCTTGTTTTTACTATTTATTGTTATATGTTATATGTTTGCTTCCACTTGTATGACTGAGCAGAGTAACTTTTGGGAGATTGGATGAAGAGTCACAGGTTTACATCATTGAGATGTTTGGATTTCAGGTTGTAAGCGGATTGTGTATGATTTAAAATGGCACCAGTTACTTGGCTCCGACATATCCACTTATCTATACTATATGTTTGATCATATTATTGGAAAATGTAACTTACTGAGTGATGAAAATTGTTTTAGAAACTTTGCACCCTTCAATGACAATTCTCAGACTCCCATCATTAGATTGTGAAGCTGGTGTATCTTTAGTGTAGATATTTCTTTTTGGGTTCAATGTTAAAATCTTTATTTTTTGTATTGTTTTGGTGACAAAATGTCTGAAAGTATATTGTGCAATTTGTTTTTTAGTGGCAGCTGCTCCGTATTTCAGCTTTATCTATTTTATGTAGGAATACTATTGAATTCTATTGTTTCTAGGTGATGGGCAGTGTCAGAACTACATTTTAGGACAAGGTAGAATTCATTTCTATTATACACAAACTCTTCAGTGTATTTGAAAGATGGTGGCTTCCCCTCCTTTGCCTGGAATGGTTTTTGTAAATGAAGTATTTCAGCCAGGATATCAGAATAGACATCTGCTGAGAGAAGAGAAAACATGGACAGTTCTTTACATTGATAAAGTAGGAAGTTATAGCAAATAAGTGAGAGAAGCTCAATTTACAATTGGACAAATACGGTAATCTATAATGACAGGATAAAACATTTCCTCTGCTCTTCTATGAAAACGGTTGCACATACTTAAAACTATTGATAATGTGAATAGGAAACAGCAAAATCTTGATTTTTCATTCTTTTATTTGCTCTAAACATATGAATGGGATTTTAGAGAGATCATACAATAAAATGGAATATTTACAGCAAAGGAAATTCTCAGGGGTGGATTGAATCATGCTGGGCTGTGTGTGAAGATTCCACTGAAGATACAGAACTAGAAAATGATGGCTTCATTTTCAAAACAGAAACACTAGAGCATGTATGGTCATTACGCAATGTAACAAAATTTGAGAGTGCCATTTCCTGTTTAATTGTGTGGCATTTAATTTGAAAGTAGTTGTTATACTCCAGAAACTTTGTTTTTATGGTTGCCACTATGTTGAATTGGTTGAGATTCACTGAGATATTAATTGAAAAACTACAGCAAAATTTGCAATAGGATGTCCTGCAAAAACAAAGTTCTGACAGTTTAGCAAACCTTTTCCATGTTTTTTATGATAGAACCAGTTAAGAAATGACGTGTTGCATGGTGTTATTCAGGCTTTGGTCACTGTGACGGAGTACCCTTTCGTGAAGCATTTTCCATTGAGCAAACAGTCTTCTAATGCAGCTTGAAAATAAGTGTTTGGCATGAAGCTTAAAACTTTTTCTGTTTTGCTTTGGGAAAGAGGGGGAAGGGTTAGATGATTTTAGGTTTTTACAAAGAGGATTACGACGTCACCATGAGTTAAAATATGTGTAGCAAAGACCCAGTGTTCTTTTGATGATTTGATGAAAATCTGGTATTGAAATTCAGATACTGACAATTGATTAGTTCTTCTTTGAAAATATTAGGTGGGATGGTGGGTTGAGAAAGAGGAAGTAGCTTCAGAAAGGCTACATCTTGCAGAGATGGAAATTGGATGTACTGTACTTGGAAAAGTGAACCAGTCAACTGTACAGAAAATTATCTCCAACCATGGCTAAATATGCCAACTAGCACTTGTTACAATAACCAAGGGGCAAAATTCTAAAACCCCAATTCGGGTCTGTAGGTGTATGCACACATGAGCATATTTTCTCTTCTCAATAATAGTAACCGTGTGTTCTATCAGAAGTAGTTTTTAAAGGCTGACTTTGATACAAGATAGAATACTGGAGTAGAGTGAGGGGAAAAACACTGCGGTGTACAGAGAATTTAAACAGAAACAAAAAAAGGAATAGTTTTGGGAAGTTATTTATTATTATTATTTATTTTGAACATTTCTACCCTGCCCTTCTCAACGCCTAGGGGGACTCAGGGCGGCTTACAATTGGCAATAATTTAATGCCGCATCATAAAATACAGAATACAGAATAACAAATATAACAATTGACATGAACATTAATAAATAAAGATTAAAACAGTATACTTTTGACACATAGACAGGCCTATATAACTTCTGTAAAAGGAGCTTCCTAAATTATGGCCAAATGTCACAACTTAACAACATCAGCAGCAACAGCAGCAGGAAGTTTCCTTTGACTCAAGGCATAGTTAAAATTAACAGTATATAAGAGCTAAAAAGCAAACTGCCATAACATTTTAAAGCAGTTAAAACAAATTAAATTAGCAACAACATATACAAATAAAGTACATTATGTAAGTCCCATTTCCCTTGGATAATACATTGTTAAAGGCCTGCCGGAATGAAAAGGATTTTGTAGAAATATAATAAGGAAAGTGCCAGTGTAGTCTCACTGGGAAAGGAATTTCAGGGCCTGGAAGTCACTCCCATTCCTTTACTTTTTGAATTATTGTGTCTGTCATAACTCCTAAAATTATCATGATTCATTGATTCCTGTTACATAATAACTATACCTGTATTTAATCGAGTCTAATTTGCCTTTGAATCGAATGCACATCTTAATTTTCAAAACCCTGAAACCAAAAAAGTATTTGCTGCCAAATGTAATGTGCAACAGCAAAAAGTGCACTCTTTGTAATTTGGTTCCAAAATGTGTACATTACAGCGGCGATATGCTTATAATTCCTTCTTTAAAAACAAAAGAGTTAGAACACCAAAGCTTTCAGCAATGGAAAAGAAAGCCTTGGGCTTCATCTATGCTATAGAATTAATCCACTTTAACTGCCCTGGCTCAATGTTATGTGGTCATGACAGCTGTAGTTTGGGATCATGGGGGCTGCCAAAGAATGCTGATGCCTTATCAAAGTACAAATCCCAGCATTGCATAGCATTGAGCAATGGCATTTAAATAAGGGGTGATGGCCCTCAAATAGGAGCTCTGGGTGCTCCTGAAGTAGCTTCCCCTTTTGCTTTGGCTCAGTACTAAGATTACCATATTACACGAATCTAATGTGCACCCTAATTTTGGGAAGGTAATTCAGCCAAAAAAGGTGAGCATTAGGATTGTATCCTTAACTGTTGCAGCTTAATTTTGCAGCACAAATAGGCACAAATCCTTATTAACAGACTGTAATTCCACTGTAGGCAAATTGCTTTATGGACATTGGTAAACATGCATGATTTCTTTAATATGAGGAGTATTATGTATTCCATATTGAATCTGGGAAGTGGGAACGTAAGAGTCCAACACATCTAAAATGGGCCAGATGATTACCTGTTGCCAGGGGTTGATGGAACTTATAGTACAATACGTAAGGTGGCAGAGGTGAGTAATTTAGTTCAGATGTAGTATTCTAGCAAAGCTACAACTTTCCTGTAGATTAACTTTGCAGAGTAATACTGGCAGTCAAAGTGGGATGCTGTGGAAGATACTTTTACCTAATTGGGTGAAGTTATTATATTGTTTGTAATTGCATTTTAATCTCCTTTTGCTTTATTAATTTTATATTGTTTGATTTTTGTCATAATTAGCCACTTTGTGTACTGTTCTATGAAAGAAAAGCAGGGTATAAATCCAATAAATAAATATTTTTTAAATCTAATTTACTCGCAAGAAGCTCTGTGATTGCATGTCAGATACTGTCCAGAAGTAGATGCTTGAAACTGCATCTGTAACCTTTTGAGTGCAAAGCATGCACTCTATTATAGAATCACATCTCCTCTGAATCTGACATGACTGTTGCGAAATAAAATAAAATCTTTAAAATTAAGGTGCAGATTAAAATAGTATTTACTTCCTGTCTTAATATGTATTTGATGGGTTTTTATTAATAGGTTGAGATCAATACTTTAATTTTTAAACCACTCCATGTCTTGGTCACAGACTAGATAACAATGTGAAAAACACAATGTTGCTAAACCAGTTGGATTGATTTACATCTCATATTTTTGTTGACTGTTTTACTAGACATCTGCAGAGGTGCCTACATGATTTTGAAGAAGGAAGAAGGGGGAAAATTGCCAGATCACGTGGGCACCTCTGCCAATGTGAAAACAGCAGGAGAGGAGACTGACCCCTTTTCATGCACAGCTTATGCAGGTTTAGCAGAGGTGCTCACATGGAACTCTATTCTGGCTAGGAGCGATGAAGGTGATAGCATGGCCATAATTCTTTCCTTTCCCTGCACTGATAAATGCAGGGGAAAGGTTACAGTACCAGTGTCCAATCTGACCAGTGGATTGGGTCAAATCAGATCCAGTGTAGCTGTCCAGACTGCCCCAAAGTGTGGGGTACTCTGGAATTTACAGCAAACTGTGGAGTATCCCCTGACTTTGCCCAAAGCAGAACACAGTTGGTTTAAAGCAAAACCCACAAAAATTGGGATATTCACCAGAAGTAGCAATGCATCAAGCCAGATTTCCATTCAGGGTGAATCATGAGGTTTTAGCAATGTAGACAAGCAGTTAGTCTATTTCAGCATGAGATGGAAAGACAGGGGATGACAGAATCCAGCTGCATCTTTAAGTAACTGGTTACTTTAGCGTGACCTTTTATGATTATCAGTCTACTTCTTTAGATGAGAGAGAATTATGTACAGTGACAGACTTTTATATACCCGTGATTATAATTCCAGGTCCATCAGTGCATCTGAAAAATTGGCTTGAAATCCATGAAAACTCATGCTGGAATCAATCAGCCACAAAATATTGCTGCTGGCTTATTCTCCTTCCCTCTTTTCCATTTTTGAGTTGAATGTGTGATTTATGAACCATGTTTGCTATACATTGTTCACACATTCAACCATAAAGTGTTGACTAGTCAAGTGGAGATTCACATTTTTTCCACAAATCATATAGCAATGTGATATTCATGTTTT